TCAAGGAAATTAAACTAAGAAGATACCAAGGCTACTCTAAACATTTGAAATGCTGATCAATACGCCTTTTACGATTAGAGCCACAAAAATGTTCTGCATAACTATAATGAGTGTGTCATATAATAAACAGTGAAAAAGAAATGACAGGTAATATAAAAGAAGCCTAATGACATAAAATAATCAAAATGCGGAGCATAAAAACGTCCTACATAACTAAATATTGCAAATTAAGAAAGTGATGAACGATGGGCATTACTACTAGCAACAAAATATCAATGCGAATATGTGCATATTAATTATTTGGCTTGGGATTATCCTTGTCGAATAATTTAGCCATCCTATGATTACGGAACAGACTTTAGCATCAGGCTAGCCCAAATTAATTATTTTCGACGAGAGTCAAGCTCAGGCACAAACTATAGTGGTGCCAAAATCAACTTACATTTGAGTAAGGCATTTAACTTTAGCTTATTCCGGCCAATCCAAATGCAGTTTAATAGTTGCACTCAAGAAAAAAATGACATGAAAGAAGATCGTCTGGTGAAAGCTATTTCAAGCGAGCTTTAGTCAAACTCACTCCGGCCAATTGATCGGGAGGCAAAAGACCGCGCCGGCCCAGCTCAGCAAGCGTTAGACAAGCTCCATGCCACGCAGTGTGTGGCTCAAAACGGGTGCAGAGAGATAGCACAGCCGAGAGGACGTCATAACACATAGTTGGGGGAAGGCGGGCACAAATGCGGCCTAAGCTGTAGATAAATTAATATTTAATTCAAATGCAAAAGACATTAATATATTCAAAAATAATGTACCTGCGAAAAACGCTTTCAAATTAGACGTAGAATACAACGATGCTTAAAGTTCACACAATAAGATTTTGGTAGTACTATGACAACTCATAAAAGTTATAATGAAAAGCAACGTGCCCCAATCAAAATATATTCGCTAATAAAGCAATTTAAATGAACTAGGGCACCTATATAATAAGGACTCTGGAAGGAGATTCTTTAGCCTACAGTGCAGAATATAGCCGAAACCAAGTAGGCTTAAAAATAAAAAAAATTATACGACTCACTGTAATGTTTAAATATTTATCCAACATGATGATGGAATTGTCACAAACGCAGAAACTAAAACAACCATAAAATGCAAACAATAAACAGCACAATTTCTTTTGAAAAGTTTGTATGAATGATAGATTATGTTCGTTCATTATAAAGCAATCTAAATAATTTCAACTCTTTATTTATTGAAGTATAAGGGTAAAAAGCAAAATAATTGTCTAAAACCGGTATAAACCTAGCTATTAGAAGAAATTAAAGATCAAAAAGTGGTTTAAATCGTATCCAGACAACAGCTATCACATAATTAAGTTAGGCTAAGTTGAGAAAGTCGAAATTAATAAGAGTAAGAAGAGTCACCCAAGGAATATTTGAGTCAGGTAGAATTTATAATAATCAAAAAGGACAAATAAAATGTTATCAGTGTTAAATAATAGACAGATAGAAAGTTTGAGCAAATTGATAGTGAGAAGGCGCACCCTTTAGCAGCTGACCAACGAACCACAGTATATTGACTACGCATTTGGTCGATAAGGAAGTCGATAACCTCAGCCACTTGATCAGGTATGACCTCAATCTCCAACCCCATTTCTACAAGTGCCTGCCCGTCGGCCATTAGTCGACTATCTGCGTCCCCTTTGCTTAAATCCTCCGGTGCCTTTGCTCGAATGTTTGACCGATTATCCCCCGGATGTAAAACAGAAGAGCTACTGATGTTTGCGACTGAAATGCAAGCATGAGGTTCATCACATTCAGCTTGAAAAGACGCCTTGATTGAAGATGCAGGTGTTGCAGCCAAATTGTCAGCTAGTTTTTTAGAAGGCTTTGAGGTCAAAATTGATGACGATTGAAGGGCCGATTGACGCCGCTGTATGGAAAGTTGAGGCTGAATTGGGCATAAGAGTAGACCAATACGTTGAACTAGCTTGGTGCGTAGATGGCATGGTAGGTTAGTACGAGTGGTAGCATCAACAGAAGAGTGATCAAGAGAAGAAAGCATCTTAGGGAGACTGGGTAGCAATTCAGCGCGCCTCCCGAGCCGACAAAGATTGGATAAAAAGCGAAGGACGCCACAAACTCGGATAGTAGCTTATGGAATAAAAATAGAATAAGTGGTGAATAAATTAGATAAACAAAAGCGGCTAAAAGCAAATATGCACGCCCTGTAAGCTTAATTACATCTATTATTTATGTAATAGTTATGAAATAATGTAAAAAAAACCTGAGAATTACAAAATGGATTTCTTCTTCTTTTAAAGGTACTTCGAATCCAACATCTCTTCGAGTGCTAAGCTTACCCAGCCTAAATAGTATACTAAAACAAATCAACCAGAATGCTTAGGAATACGTTCCATTAAATACAGCGAGATGAATTTGAGAAACTTGTGGAACAAGTTCGAGTAAAATAAATCCTGTACAGAAATATAAATAGACCAGAAGTCTGCGACTCAGCAAGATCAGCGAAAAGAATTAATAGAACAAATGCACAATTCAAAAAT